CTGCTGTATTTAAACCTTCATTTCATCTGCAAAGTACAGAGTGTGCATTTTTGTAGGAAGTTATGAGTGTTTGGAATACTATTTTGCAGGGAATTTGTTGGGGTTTGTTTTTGGTTTTTTTTTTTTAAAGAGGTTATTTTAACAACTTGATGCTTCTAAATTTTTTTAAAGTTTAAACTCCTTTAAAGGTATATTAATCAGAAAGCTTTATCTACCTATTTATATTCTCAGAGCACGGATGAATGGCTGAAACGAAACTCAGGCGGAGGATTAGTTTCCCTTTCCCCGAAAGGGGAGGAGTTCAGTCCAAGGGCTGCGGTGGGTTTTGGCTGACCCAGGAAGGGCTGAAAAACAGAGACACAGTCTGGCACCTGCCAAAGCAATGCCGTAGGAGAAGTTATTGATGCTCCACGTCAAACAGAAAAACAGATGGTAAAAACAGGAACCTCACGTAAGACTAACAAGTTCATTTTGTTTCAGACCAACATTATTTTGAGGCTCAGGAGACAAGTGTTCGCATTTTGCGGCTCTGCCTCATTCATTACAACCCCACGCAGGGCTGCAGTTTTTAAAACATCAGCGGCTCTTTTTTTATAGCATACTCCCTACAAAAAAAACCAACACATCTAAAAGAAATCAAAAGCCACAGCTCATTTTTGAAAGCGAGCAGATGTTCGGGGGTTGGACTAGATGACCCACAGAGGCCCCTTCCAACCCCTACTATTCTGTGATGGCTCCTGAGAGCACGAAAGGCCGCCACACAACGATGAAGACACCGACACGACACGGAAAAGCGAGGAGCTGCTGAGGAACATCCACACCAGGACGCCGAAGGCAGTGAACGGGCAGGTGCCGCACAGGAGCCCCGACTTGTATTTATGGGGTGAAGCATCCAGATAGCAGGGAAAAAACAATATTAATATTAAAACACAGCTCAGGGCAGCGTCTTAAAACTCCAGAGGTCGCGAAGCCACCGCAGGGCTCTGCCTTCGCCGCCCCTTCTGACGGGGCCCCGGGTCGCCGCTCCTCCGGG